CCAGTGCCGAGCTATTACTTTGTCATTTATATGATTTTTACCAAAGTATGATGGAAGTGTTCTGATTATATTTTATGAGCATTCATCTGAACTGTAGGTAAAAAGGACTGTTAATTCTAATTTTTCATCTTACATTATCGTGTTCAGATCCATGAATTCTAAGGCACTGTTTAGAATCTCTATCTCTCCATGTTTCTTCTTAGAAGATGCCCCTCTGGCTCAATAGGTGATGGCAGATAGAAGCATTTATTTCCTTAACTTGATTTTGTTTTTTACTGGGCTGATAGAAGGAATCATAAGAAGGCTTCACACAAAATTCTCCTCTCCCAAAGCACTGTGCAGATATGTAAGGATAGCTCTCAAGTAGGCAGATACATGGATGGCTGAATCATCTTTGAATAAGAATAACTCATAAGACAATAAACCTTATTGTGAATATTGCAAGCCCAGAGGTAAGTGCCATTGCCTGCATGTGAAGATTTACAATTAGAGCCAGTGGTAAAAAGAATGTATCATCTGCACCAATCTTCTCTCTCCTAGCATGACTTAAAGGCCATGGAAGAAAGTATTAAAAAGAGAAGATAATTATGCAAAGGAATGGTTGCAAGGTTTTACATAAAATGTATTATTTTCTAGTAAGCTCAAAACAGTTTTGCTCAGATGTGGGAAGTTTCCTGGGAGTTTCTGTGTGTTCCACAGAGAAAGAGATCCAGTACATCACCTAAAAGCTTTGATTGCATTATGTTTAATTTTACATCCATCTACTGGCAAAAGTATATCATGTTAACACGCTACAGCATCATTCTTAATATTTTAGGGGGACCTTCTTTTGGAAGGTAACACGGCAGGACTCCACACTGATAAGACCCTGGTGTGAAATTGTTGATCATAACAGCTAGGTCACTCTTTAAACAATGTCTGCAAGGGGACAAAGCAGCTTGTCCTAGTTTTCCACAACTACCAAAAACCCTTTAAGTAACTGTCACCCACAGAGATGTATATGAATAAACGGCAGAAATTCCAAAATTGCTGTGCCACATTTGAGGCTGAATTTTATAAACCATTGTGCTGCAGAAGTCAAGGCCAAGGTGTAGGCTCAGGCCTCGTGCTGTCTGTCTGCTGCAGGACTTGAACACTTCTCTGAGCGGACTCTGTGGTGAGGGCCTTTAGAAGGAATAAAGAGATGGAAATACATGACAAAGAATATACTTCTGTTTTTTCAGAACATTCCAATCCTCACAACCACCCTGTACGAAGGAAGCTTTATTCTGTTCAGGAGGCCACAGGGACGTGTTACTGAGTGACCTAAAACAGGATCTGCCCTGTGTGTGAGGTCTCTCCACCTCCCATCACGCTAGGCTACACTCTTCTTGGCTCAATTCAGTAGGTCATTGCCTTTTTGTAGATTTCTTTCCAACACAGGTTTTTATTCAAAGAGACAAGGGAAAACTGGCTGATCGTGAGCTAAAACAATTCCACAGATCTTCGCTTATGGTGTTGTGATCCAGCTGTCTCATTTTCCTTTCTCAAAAAAATCACTTTCTGAACACAGTTCAGGAGAAAAAAACATCAAAATCTCTGCATAGCTTCAGAGGTTAGCTGAAATGAAAGTGTGCTGGTGCCACTGCCCTGAGACAGGTCAAGGCTATGCATTTAAGGTGAAGTCTCTTTCTTTTCTTCAAACCTATCTGAAAGAAACAGCCCACCATGCATGTTTGACTTCTCTTCCGCAGTGCCAGCCATCATGATCCCTAAGCACGTGTGGATGGGTTCATCCTGAGCATTATTCATCACTGTCAAGTGAAACATTCTCCAGAGAGGAGGAAGATATATACCGATTTTTAAATTCATGAGGAAATGAGAAATAATGGTGCCAGATTAAAATAATCTCTAACAATGCATGTAATCTATTCATCTCAGAGTAGAACGATGACAAGAAATTTGTGTAGCTATCATTTTAAATTAAGATGTACTCTGGAAATGACAATAAAGCTGTCTTATCGAAGAGGGATTTCATTTGTTTATTTTCTATCATTCTTCTGAGGCCACTTAGGAGATCAGAGGCTTTGCCCAAATCTTCTATGCCTAATTTTCTATAGACTATGCCATAGATAGTTGAGGATCACAGTAACCAAGGTGACCTTCAGAAAGTGAAGAAGCCCTCTGGGAATATGAACCCTGTAACGAGATATCATTCTGCACATCTGTAATCTCAACACTCTGGGAGACTGAGGCAGGATGATTGCAAGTTCGAGTCCAAAACCAAATTAATGTTCAAAATAAAAAGTAGGAAAAGGGTTGAGGGTGTAGCTTGGAGTGAAGGCCATGGGTTCAGTCTTCTGTAACACACACACACACACACACACACACACACACACACAGTGGAGAAGGATCATGATTTTAACAGGTGGTCTGGTAGCCAACTGCTAGCTTTGCCACAGACTTAACTAATACCACAGTGACATTGTCTGTGTGCTTCCAGGCCCAACCCTAAGAAATGCTAACAGATTTGGGTGCAGAGAAGGGACTGGAGAAAATTCAGCCAATTCTGGCTGAATCTTTGACCTTCTCATGTCAGAAATGTAGGACTGGCCGAGATCTTGCAGCTCCATCAGTCTTTCTAAGTGATCAGAAGGAACTGTCAGTCTGCTGTACTTTATGTGGATGGCCTTTTCTGATTTTCTAAGCAGGGTTACGGAAACAGTATCACATTTAACTCAGGCCCCTTGGAGAGATAGGAAAGGTGAATGTTATTCTTGTGCAGTTGGGAAACTGAACTGGTAAGACTAGCTACGGAGTTGCCCCAGGTAAATGGCAGAGAAGAACTAACTACCCAAGTCTTACCATTTTTCTCTTCCTACCAAGTGGAGAAAACCAAGAACATGATTCCAAAGTGGGTTTTAGTTACTACTGTACAGACTAAATCACAATGTCTTTGCACCTCAGTTTTCTCGTCTGCAAAATGGGTACAACTTTTGCTTCCTCTTTCTCTGCCCTACAGACTTGTGAGGAAAATGAAAGATGAACAGCCCTTGCCTTTTTTGTCCATGCTTACAAAAGGGGTAAACATACAGTCCTTATTACCAGGATAGTAGGAAAACTGAGGCTAGATAATATAAGGAGTGGGAGTGGGGTGAGGCAGAAGCTTAAAACTCTGATTTATCTTTATTTACAATGTTATTCATGTCAAATCAATTAACTTTTTGCTATTCAGTTGCCTCAGCAGCACTTTGCTTTTCTGTTTTTTTGGAGAAAAGGTCTCACTTAGTAGCCCAGGCTGGTCTCAAACTCATCAAGTAACCCTATTTAGCATCGAACTCAGGATTCTCCTGCCTCAGTATACTAAGTGCTAAAATCACAGGATTGTCACATTCAGCCATACGTTAGTTGTGCCAGACTGTTTCAAGAATTTTTTTAATTTAGTCTGTGAGGTTTCTATTCTAGGTTTTTTTTTTCTGTGCGCCATATTCAGAGATACTTTGCTATATTCCCTAAAGATGAAAGACTGGAGCATTTACATGCTGTAAAATAAAGCTAAGTATTGCCAAAACAGTGTAGTACATTGGCATTCCCACTGTGATTTTTTTTAACATTGCTAGTAGCCTATAGCAGCTTAATGGGATTGAAATTTCAAGGCAAAGCATATTGAGGAGTAGGAGTCAAATTATTTTAAGAACTACTAAGACATTGTTCCCGGCCTACTCTGAGAAGCTAAGAGCCTTTACTTTGTGTGACACCTAACAGGGACAGCCCTCTGAAATGCTCCCCCTTCCCAGAGATCATTAGTGCTGCTCAGCTCCAGCCGTGATGGCAAATGTCAGCCACTCAAAGAATCAGCTGGTTAATTAGATTTGGAGAAGAGAAGGAAAAGGCAAATTCTCAAAGTAAAACGCCAGGCAGTGTCTAAGAAGGGAAAGCCAGGGGGAGAAAAAGTTTTCTTCTGCTGACATTTTACCACCACACCTGAATCACAATGTAGCAGTTTATAGCCAAATGATCTAGTGCCAGAAGGAGCTAGGAAAAGCAACCTTTCTGCACTTCAAGAGACTTCTGAAGTTTTCTACCTGAAGAGTTCCTCTTCCCTCAAGCTGCTTCCCTAATACCTGAATGTAATGAAAAGCCTTTCTTTATACCTGGCTAAGGGAAAAGCATTCCCCTTCAGCACCCCTTAAAACACACACACACACTAATTTTGGCTCAACCTTTACACTTCATAGAGTGCTTCCATGTGTACTGTCTTGGTGAGGACATGGGGCAGCTGCCCCCATTTCACAGATGACAAAAGCTCAGGAAATGTCGGCAACATGCCTCACTTCCCAAAGGTGACAGAAATCAGGTCTTAAACCTAAATCTCTGAAGAGCAAACATAGTACTCCCTACTATTCAGGAATCCAGCTTTTTTTAAATTAGTCTGAAGGGGTTTTTTTATTATTATTCAAAGCCTAAAGTATGTAAAACAAATTACCTAGGCACATTGAAAGAAAAGAAATACATAAAAATGGCCCCTGATTTCACAGAGATAAAATTTTTATTAAAAAATTAGTTGAATTACAAACATTCAACTAAAGCATATTTACATGTCAAGGGATTCTCCAACATGGGAAATATCGGTCCAGAAAGATGCTAGTGGGGTCAGGATGTGCAGAATTAATTTTCTGAAGGAAGGAGGTTTGCAGTTAAAAGTTTTAGGGTTCTCTTCTCAGAGCTTTCACGTAGAGCATCTGTTGAAATCACAGCAGATGGAACACATTTTATCTTTAGTTTCTCAGAGAAACCTGGCACCTCAGGTACCATGGAGGGAAAATAAAGGCTCATTTTTATATCATAATTTGTAATATAAAGACATAAACATTACTTGCTCCTGGGAGGGTGATTTCATTTTTTCCTCCCCTAGTGAGTTTTATAATGAAAACTTACTGAAATAAAAACTAAAAATTAGATTTAAATGTTATATTTTCTGAAGAATGCACTGAGTTGCTGTTTTGTGTTTATTTTTGCAGTCTCGATGGACACTTTATCCCCTGCTGCTGATTTTGTTTAAAAACCAAGAATTCTATTGTGCTGATTTATCAGCCTGCAATTTCTACTGATGCTATGATGAAAACACAATGCCACTGTCTCCCTTTTTAACCCCTCTGTGAAACTTTGACTGCTAAAAGATTTGCTCATCTTTCACCTTCTATAAAGATGTCTGAGCCCGACTCCTCATCTGGATTTGCAGGAAGTGTGGAGAATGGAACTTTCCTTGAGCTATATCCTACGTCATTGTCCACGTCAGTGGACCCATCCTCTGGCCATCTATCGAATGTCTACATCTATGTGTCCATATTTCTCAGCCTCTTAGCCTTTCTGCTTCTGCTTTTAATCATTGCCCTCCAGAGGCTCAAAAATATCATCTCCTCCAGTTCTTCCTACCCAGAGTATCCAAGTGACGCTGGAAGTTCCTTCACCAACTTAGAAGTCTGTAGCATTTCCTCTCAAAGGTCCACTCTTTCCAACCTTTCATCCTGAAAACAAAATGGAAAAATTCTTAATTAAAGCAACAGTAGATTAGGTTTTTCCCTCATGGGGAGTGTTGCCTCATGGAAGGCATGACCCTTTCGGTTTCAACCTGTTTTCATCCTCCATCTTTGATTCCTTTGCTGTTCCTGATGCTTTCATTTATGAATGGGGAAGTTGATCCTGACAGAAATGAGCACTGACTTTGAGGTGTGGAATTTCACATTCACCTTTTGACAGAACTGGAGTTGGCTTCTTCGAGGTGGAGCAGCATTGGTTGAATGCCATGAACTCAAATAAGAAAGCCTCACAGTGAATGCTGGGTATGGACTCTTTTCCTTCATTTCCCCGAGACCAAATGAGCCCACAGAAACTGGAAAAATTAACTCTGAAGGATGTAGGAGATATTTTCCTATTAATGAGATAAAGTGGAGATATCAAATTTTAAAAAGGAGTCAATTTGGATCAAATGCATAATATTTCTAAAACTGGAGATAAAAATATGCTAAATTTTTTTCATTTCACTTTAACAAATGAAAATTACATTTATTCATGGATATAAGTCATTTAGAAAAGTATTGGAAGAGTTTATAACTTTTAATAGCAAGAAGTGCATGTGTCATGATGCAGTTTATAATGTATTTCTGCTTCTTGAAGTTTTTCTTCTACTTATATTGTAGCCGTAATGATCCTCAGTTGCGGAATTCTTGTGATAATTGCTATTCCTATTGCTAAGAGAAGCACCAGGAGAGACACTAAGAAGTTTTTATTTTAGATTTATAATTTCCATTGTTGAGAATTAAGAATAGGAAAATATTCATCTAGTTGTACTTTATACAGTAATGACTCCAAGTAGTTGTGTATGTTCCTTTATTCGGTGTTATAGTTTTTATAATTTCAGTGCATAATTATATTAAGGCCCCAAAATGTCAGAGCTTAATGTTCATTCACATGAGGTTGCAATACTTAGAGACTAAATTGCTAACATACATGCCATTATATACTCCATGAACGTTCCATGTCTCTGGTAAGTAGTTGTTGCCTGTTAATATAGTACTCTGCATTTGGACTTCAGGATGTGAGATTATATTAAAGTTGTAGCATCCCCAGTTGTGCAGCTGCTGGGAGCTTTAGTAATCCTGGGAGCTGCCATACTGTGATTGTCAGGTACACTTGAACTTGGAGAAGGGAGAGGTGTCATGAAATTAAATATGCACATGAACACAGGCAAGGAGTGTGAAGGAAATGAAGCTGCCACTAAAAACAAAACAAAGTAAACAAACTACAGCTTCTCAAGAATAAGAATTTTAATTTAATTTTAAAAATAAATGGCCCACAGTATAAATACCTAACAGTGTGTGGCCATTGTACCAACATGCCACAGTCTTCCCGTGGCTACCAAATCATTCCCTGCTTAAAGTACAACATAAACTTAAGTGGTGGAGCGTCCACACTTCTTTTGGTTGTAGAATCAACACTCTGAATGGACAAGAATGGAGAAACAACCCACCATTTTGCAGTCTATCTTTGTCATTTTAGAAAGCAATGTCATTCCAGATGAGGCCTGGAAATGTGGATCAGAAGTCCTGTTTTTAAATCCATAACCCTCACTTAAATCATACCACATTTAACTCTTTATATATCAAAAAATCTCCAAACATCGTAAGATCAGGACAAACTTGCTGCCCTAAAATTTATGAGTGAAAAATTTCTCTCTGCTGCCATTTAAAGCATAACAGTGGGTTTGTTGTTACTGTGTAGCATAAAATTTGCACTAGAGAGACTGCTGTTTTAGATCATTATTAGCATTCTCTAAGTATACATATGTATGTACATGTATAAAGATATTTTTATGTATATGTTCACATGTTCCAGTTAAAAGTTGTGTGAAAGCTATACAAGATTAGAGACATCTATAGTACCACTTTTGCTCTTTGATTATTCTTGTGCTATTTTGGTTATTGAGAAGGAAAAAGCATGGGTAAAGTGATTTTTAAAAAACAAAAGGACAAATGCCCCACAATCTGATTATGATTTACCCTAAGGTGTAACTTTATATCCTTTCCTTCTGGAAGAAATACAAAGACTTTTGATAGCAAAACTACTTAAAAAATCAAATCTGATCAATTCTACAAGTACTCCCCACCTCCCCTGCCACAAAGATTCTTGCTCACAACATTAAATGGAATAATTAGGAGCAACATTCAAAGATGGAAAACAGGATTTGTCATTACAAGATTGTCAACATAACAGATTGTACAACTTGAGATGAATTTGTATTGTGTAAAAAAGGTCCAAAAGGCTGGAAGATGAATTTATAAATAAAGAAGGAAAGTCCACTGAAGCCTGGTTTCTTCTGTGATATTTTTATTGAGGTGATCCACAGTTTTCTCTCTTAGAAAGAGGGTTTTCCTAGGAGTTTTAACTGTATCATTTTATCTATATAGTAAATTTATATCTATATTTCTGTACACGAAATTTCTATCCATCTGTATGTCTATAGAATTTATCATCTCTCTTTCTCTCTATAACCTGCCTCTCTCTCTCTTTCACTCTCTCTTTCTCTCTCTTGTAAGGATATATGTATGTATGTAATCCTTCTACTTCGAAGCCATGTCTAAACATCTGCCATTTTATAAAAGACATTTTCTATTAATACTGCTTTTATGGCAACAGAGCCCTCTAACTTCTGTCATCACCTCTGATTTTCTAGAGACCTCATCAAACTACCCCAAACGTGGCTTCATTTTAGAGTGAACCCATTCTGAATTAGGGTATTTGCCACCTTGAATACTATAAGAAGACATTGTTGTCAACAGGCCTTTAGTAAATCAATGGATACATGCCTTGGTACTGAATAGAGTAGACATAGTTCCTGCCCTCACAAAGTTTATAACCTAATGAAGACGAAGCTCAGAAAATGATATGTATAATTACAATTGCAAATAGTGCTATCAAGAGAATATGACTGAAATGATAGACCACAAGGGAAGTTCACTTAAGATATGGTGGTTAGAACATTTCTGACAAGGTCATTTGGAAATATTTGGAGAAGAGTGATCTCTGCAAGGAGAAGAGTATATACAAAGGTCCAGTGGCAGGAAAGGCCTTGGCTCATGCAGGCAGAAAAGTCCCTATGTTGAGATGCAGAGCATGAGCTTGGAGAAATGAGCAGGCACAGGTTATGTGGAGCCCTATAGTTGTACAGGAGCTTGGATTTTATTCTGAGTGCAGTGGGAATCCATTGAAGGACTTTAAGCAGGAAAGTTATATAATTGAATTTATGTTTAAGAAAGATTAATCTAGTTGCTTTCTGAAAAATAGACCAGAGATGGACAAAAAGTCCTTGTCTGATCCACCCTGGGTGGGATACGAGAGTGGGTGGAGAGTGTGATGTCTGCTACAAATATCTGTTCATCTTCCATGGAAACAATCTTAGCTAAGAATGAGTTTAACCACACAACTTCCCTCCTCTAACCATTACCACCACCTCTCTCTCTCTCTCCCTCCCTCCTTCTTCCCTCTCCTCTCTCTCCTCTCCTCTCCTCTCCTCTCTCTTGTCTTCCCTCCCCCTCCACCCCCTTCCCTCCCTCTCTTCTCCTCTCCTCTCCTCTCTCTTACACACACACTTCTCATTCCCCTCCTAACCTCTCCTAGCTTCACCCCAGTTGGCCCTTTCTTGAATTCTTTCAATCATCTATAGTCCCTAGTTCCAATAAGTCTTACTCCAGTATTTTTAACAAAATGTGTGACTAATGGTCCGATGAAACTAATGCAGCAGTAAAATTGGAGCATTTAAAATATTATTCTTTTTAAAATCTCATTCCTCAAAAAGCTATCATTCTTTGTACATTACGTGGTCCATTCCTTAGGATTCTAGCCTCTTGTGAATAGTTGATATTTTTTGACAGCTTCTCCTCAGTTATCTGTCTGCCCCATTTAATTAGTGCTACCTATCATAGAACATAAGATTTGGATTCACAGACTTTTATTCAAACCCCAAGCCCTTAATGCTACTTCTGTAACCTTTGGTAACCTCTCTGAGGCTCCAGGTTTTGGTAACATGAAGAGAATAATATCTTTACAGTGCTGTGAAGAGTAACTAACAAATTTTATGTAAACTAACACTACATTGCTTAATACATGGCATATAATATTATGTATGCAAATGTCAATCATATATAATGTAGAATTTTTGGCTTCAGACATTTTTAAATTTCCTGTTTCTGCCTGCCGCCTATTTTGCCCACCTTCCTACATCAAATTCCTCTTTCATTCATCCTCTCTCTACACATCTAATCTAATTTTCCCTGCACTATGCCCTTACTCTTTTGCTGTGTTCTTGCTTTTGCCTATCCCCTACATACGTCTCCCCAGAGACCTATGGGTACATAAGGAAAACTCCACAGCTGTCTTGCCAATAGCTCCATCTGTTCATGCCTCTCTCCTTTGGATGTTGGTGTCCCCACTGGTGTTGGGGACAGTTATGTATTGGAATGCAATCAATAATGTTGGTGAAACAGATCAAGGACAAAGAGACTGATGGTGAGTGTCCTGTGGCTTAGGAAGTGTAAAAGATATATTGAAGAGACTTAGGGTTACAATCAAACTTGAATTAATACAAGTAAAATCAGATTTGAGTTAGATGGTGCCTTCAAGACCTAAGCCTTCTACTTCAAAAGCCTAAGCATCCAACATTTGCATGAGACAATTTCTATTAATACTACTTTTTATTGCAATAGAGCCAGCTTACCTCTGTAGTCACTTCTAAATACCCAGAGACCCCATCAACCCATTGCAAGCCTAGCTTTTCTGTATTTCTGCAGTTGTTCAAATTACAGAGTTGACCCAATTAACCAGCAAGCATATCATTGGTTTTCAAAGCAGCCGTATTTTCTTAGTCCTAACATTCAAGAATATATAATTCTTTAAAAATTTTTGCTTATTGCTACTTATGGATTACCAAACTTCAAAGAAGCTTATTGTTTGTTTATAATAAAATACATTCAACTCCAAAGCTAAAGTAACTCAGCTTTGATGATTCAGAAGGTAATTCAAGATCTCTTGGTGCCCCTAGTATTATTATAAACATCATTTTGCTGTGCATGTATAGACGGAAATCCACGGAGAATTCTGGTTAAGAATATGCCATATTATTATACTCCCAGTTGTAATAACATTAAAAGTGTCTAAACATGCTACTAGTAATACAGTAAAAAGAAACTGCTTTAGCTCAAGGTGGTTAGTCAAGCAGGAATAATAGTAATGATAAGTAATACTAGTTATTAGCATTTATATGGTCCATTCTATGTGTTGGATACTCTTACAAGCACGTTATGCATTCATTCATAATACTTATGAGATAGGTACCATTATTATTCCTATTTTACAAATTAGGAAACTGAGGAAGGTCACAAAATTGATGAATGGTAAAATTGAGGCTCTGCTCCAAAAATCAGGCTCCATGTTTTGCAGCATGACTACTAGGCTTCATACCTTTCCTTCCTTTCATTCATGGTCATTTATAATAGATATGATTGAGGAATAAGTATATAACCAAGCATTAAACTTTGTAATCGATCTCAGAGCAGTATAAACATGCACTCACTGAAAATGGAGAGAAGAACAGTAGGCTATTGCTAAATGTGGTTACAGGTCCTACACAGCCTCCTTACTCATTGACATACCAGAGGCCAAAGCTTTGGAATACTGAAAGGACCCTGCTTCTGATATGTGGACACAAAAACATCTTAGTTCTGTGGGAAGCCCAGGAAACATGGAGACACATTCACACAACATGTATGCAGGAGTCCCTTTTGGAGACATCCACTTCTGATGAAATGATAGATGGTCTTTCATTTAGCAAATATTTACTAAGCACCTACTGTATGCCAGTCATTGTTCTTTGCTCAACACTGAGAATAACAGACAAAAATCTTTCAAGAAGTTTACATATAGTGGAGAAGACACAATAACAGTATAAGTAAAGTACATAGTATGTTGAATAATTATAGGTGCAAAAGTAGGAGGAAAAAACACAGCAAAGAAAGGAGATAGAAAATGTTGAATTTAGTTGGAAGTTTGGACAGTTTAGACAAAAGGAGACCTTTCTGAGAGGATCCTGTTTGAGTTGCAGAAAGAGTCATTTCCTCCCACCCCCAAACTTACAACCCAAAGCATGACCTTCTAGAAGATTACAACATGAAAGTGATTGTTGGATCTCCAATATTTCAATCACTTGGAGTCCACAAGCATAAAACCACAAATCAAAACACAGACTCCACAGTTACCTGGAGGAAAAAATAATCCTTCTTACATTTAATTGACCTCTCATTTCTCTCTGTCTTCCACCCACTGATGTGGCCCATAAGGCCAATTTCAAGTTCAATGCCTTTGACTTTTTTTTTTATCTAATTGAAATGAATGCACTTTGGTGTCCTGCCAACCCAGCCTCAGCAAAATGGCTAGAAGCAAGAATAGATTGCTATTAGCACTTGTTAGCTGTAAAATTAGCTCTACTAGAAGGAGGTACAAGGCACAGCAGACACACAAAGGAGGAAGCCTGTTTCTGTGTTGAAGAGGCTTGAGTCAGGCCACTTGTATGATGCTGAAGAAGGCTCCCTGGGAGAACAGAATATCCAAAGATATGAGAGGCTGAAAAGTATGTGCAAAGGCTTGCTGGGCATTCCATATTGCAGAAGCAGAAGGCTGATCAGCAGATCAGAAAAGAACCATCTTCAAAATACTCCCACCTTCCACACTAGGTGCAGCATCATAATTCTCAGGGTCCTGGAGTCTGAACTGCACCTCAGGGCTTGTAGCCAGATACCCCAGGCAACATGTTGACAGGGTGGAGTCTAAAATCCAAGGTCAAAGACAAGAGTCCCCTTATAGGGAGGCTGTTCCTGCTTTTCACCTCACCCATGTGCCCTCATCTGAGAGCAACAGAGGACAGATTTCCTGCTAATGACCCCAGGAGGACAGAAAGGCTATTAAGTCTCTTCCAGGGAATGTACAGAATGAAATTGCCAGACCTCAGCTAGTCAGGACCCCAGCCAGCAGACCTTGTACACTGCATTAGATTTGGGTGTTATCTTGTGGCTGAGTTGCTGAGCCCTCATAAGCAGAGGAATGCCATAACCTTCTGCTTCACATATTTATTTGAAAGTAAAAGCAATTTGTGTGTGTGTGTGTGTGTGTGTGTGTGTGTGTGTGTGTGTGTACGCACTTTGCAAACTTTCAGGTCTTTTTTTTTTTTTCAGTTTTTTGCACATAGGAGGGCTTAGTAATTTTCTTAGAATGAATGAGGGAATAAAAGACAGACCAACTATGCAGGAACAAATG